GCACCACATACCAACAAAGATGTTGTGTCCGCCGAGAACTAAGAAATAAATATTTTAAAAAATTCTCTCTCTCTCTCTCTCTCTCTCTCTCTCTCTCTCTCTCTCCTCTCTCACTCTCTCTAAAAAAAAAAAAAAGTCTCACCTTGATGGTTCAGGTGAAAGGATATGGTAAGAGATAAAGTTTGAGTGCCAGGTATATAATTTCCAAAATAGGCTGGGATATATGCAGAAGAAAACAGCCAGGACCTCAAGGAAGAAGGAAAATAGGATCGTAACAGAAAAATGGGACAGATTGCCTTTAAAAGAAGAGAGAGAGCTGGGCGTGGTGGTGCGGACCTGTAATTCCACCTCCCCCAGCTGGGGAGGCTGAAGCAGAAGGATCTCAAAAGTTCAAAAGTCAGCCACAGCAAAAGTGAGGTGCTAAGCAACTCAGTGAGACCTTKTCTCTAAATAAAATACAAAAAATAGGGCTAGGGAAGTGGCTCAGTGGTCGAGTGCCCTTGAGTTCATTCCCTGGTACCCCCCCACACACACAAAAAAAAAAAAGAAGAGAGAGATGAAATAAGACATCTAATTTACAACGTCCTGTAAGAATTCCTCTCATACACAGAATGCATTTTGCAAATACAGAGGCACATCTTAAAAWCATACAAGAGGAGTGCCTAATGGTGCCAACACCTACTTCCCCCACAGAGAACTGTGGTACTGAGGATTGAACCAAGGGTCTCATCCATGCTCCATGCTAGTCAGGTGCTCTACCACTGATCTATATCCCCAGTCCTTATTTTACCATCCATCCCCTAATTGCTGTGTCCTTACAGAACAAGAGGGCTCCAAATTCTGGCTTGGATGGTCCAACTGAGCATGGGTTCTCAGTTTTCTCATCTGAGAAATGGAGATACTGGTAACAGCAGGGCTGACTTCATGTGACCTGGGCAATCACTCAGGATCCTATGCTCAAATAGCCCAGGCTTGGTTTAATGCTCTGCTATTGCTATCTTGGAATTCTGAACAAAAATTTTTAAAGGCGGCCCTTCATTTTATGTTGTAATGAACCAGTAAATCATGTTGCTAACTGGTTGGTTAGAGTATTAACGGTTGGTGGGAGTATTAATTTTGGGGAACAGTTTGTTATTTGGATCACCTTTCACCAGACAGAATTCACCCTAATTCCAGTGTCCATAATTGCACTGAATAATCAAATGGCTACAATTGCTTTTTATGTATCAGATTCCCACATAGAAGAAAGAGCTTAGGGGAAAATTGCCTTGGTAGGAAAGATTAGTCCTCCTCATGGCTCAAATTGATTTTGCAAGGTTTCCCCTCCTTGGAAGCTCACAGTCCTTCCCTGCCTTCCTTTCCTATGAATTTTTATAGAGCCCCAAATTTGAGGTATTTGATTCTATAATATTTAGAAGGAGGGGAATAGGGCAGGGAATGGAGTTGCCATTTGATTGGGGGAAACCAAGGTACTTGGAAATGGGGGAGGCAGAGAGGAAGATGACTGTAGTTATTTTGTTTTCTTGAAAGATTAAAACATCCTTGGGCTGGGGTTGTAGCTCAGTGGCAGAGCGCTGGCCTTGCACACAGGAGGCATGGGTTCAATCCTCAGCACCACATAAATATGAATAAATAAAATAAAGGTATTGTGTCCGTCTACAACTAAAAAAGAGAATTAAAAAAAAACATTCTTGAATAGAAGTAAACTCTTCCAGTTTAACAGCCAACGATTGAAGGGCAATGCAGAGGGAAGCCGGGCGCTGTCCTCACTCTCCTCTCCCTTCCTTATGTCCCACACCCTCCTGGTTACACTGTGCTGTCCACTCTCCTCCTAGACTTCTTCCAAGTTGGCCCCTTCTCCCTCTCTGTATGGGCCTGCAGCATASCCATGCTCTCCTGACCACACTCCTTCCTGACCATCTCTTCAAACCCACCTTAGTGATCTTGTTTGACTTTTTTTCTTTTTAGCAGTTTGAGATGTTTTTCACAAGTCATACAACTCATCCATTCAAAATCCAATGAGTTTGGGCATATTACATTTTTTGTTGTTGTTGTTGTTGTTTTGATAAATTTATATAACATAAAATGTACCATTTTAACCATTTTAATTATATAATTCAGTGGCTGTAATTAACATCCCAGATATGCAACCATCACCACTACTTCCCGAATTTTGAAGATCAAACAGGAACTCAGTACTCCTTAAACAATAACTCTCTACTCCTTCCCTCCAGCTCCTGGTAATCTCTAGTGTACATTCTATCTCCATGAATTTGCCTGTTGTAAATGTTTCATATAAGTGGCCACGTGCATTATTTGTCCTTTTGTGCCTGGCTTATTTCTTAGGATAACATCTTCAAGGTGTCAGATTGTCATTCCTTATATGGGTGAATAATATTCTGCATTTTGTTGATCCACTCATTCATTGATGGACACTTGGGTTGCTTCCACCATTTGACTACTGTGAATATGCTGCAATGAATGTTACCCAAGCAACTGTTGGGTCTCTGTGGGGCATATGTTCCCTGGAGTCCCTTTTGACTCCTCTAGTCACTTTGCACTCAGCAACCACAATACTCTTATATGTATGTATGTATGTATGTATTTATTTATTTATTTATTTATTTGGTGTTGTGGATTGAACTCATGCTAGGCAAATGCTGTACCACTGAGCTAAACCTCCAGCTATAAGCATGGTAATCTCTTGCAGAGCACATCCAGTCACATCACTTCTCTGCTTATAACCTACTGCCAGCTTCACATAAAAATGTCCATTAAGCAATACCTTCAGATAAAGATGGAAGTGCTTGCTGAGGCCTCCAAGGTCCTCAGCTCCAGCCTGTTGGACTCTCCAGGTCACCCTGCCCTTTCCTCTGTTCCAASCACCCTAGCCATCTCTTCATCCTTCTATGGAGCCACATTCTTTTTGGATTTCAACAGACTAGTGCCCTTTTCTAAAATGTTCACCCTCCCCTCATGCCTAGCTTGTGCCAACTCCTGCCATCTTTCTCATCCATCTTGCCTTGGAATTTCCCCCTGGCATCTGCCCTCCCCTCTCGGCTCATTTCTTCTTGTTTCTCTCTTTTGCTCCAGTGGCCCCTGGTCTTTCACCAATCTCCATTTGTTGGGCAGTAACTGTTCAATGTGTTTCTTCCATGTTGTAACACAGCTAATATTGACTGAACACTTACTGTTTCAGGCTCTGTTTTATGCACATCACCTGTGTCCACTTGTTAAATCCTCACAACTAGCCTGAGGACTTTACAGATAAGGATGCCTAGTATGCAGTCACAGTAACAATGCCCACCCTGGCATCTGGAAGCTACTGTAGAACCAGAGAACAGTGCAGCCAGCCCCTGCCCCCCAGGGAATGTGGTTGTCTCACCCTGCCAGTATGTCCAGTTCCTAGCATAGAACCTGGCACACACTGTACCCAATTCATATACAAACCCGAGGAATGAATGGATAGATTAGAAAATCCAAGAGGGACCGGAGCCCTGGGCAAACTTTACTGACTAACTTCTGCGTCTTGAGCATTCTTATCTACACTCCCAGGCCCAGCGACTCCAACTAAGAAGTGCACATTAATACCTATGGCCCAGGATTATTGAGAAGGCTGAGTTTTTATTTTAATGTAGATTTTAAAAATCTTTGTGCCTAGTAGACTGGATCCGGCTCGACAAATCCTGATGCTTAGCATTGCCATCAGGGAAAAAGGGAATGAGAAATCCCAATTCCGCTGGTTTAACCCCTGGGGGAGCACTATGTGAAACTCAGTGTCTTTTGCCCCTCTGCAATCTCTGTGGCCCACCTCAGAAGGGGCACTCCCGAGAGTTTTCTCTTCCATGCCTCCCTGCAGCGCTCTGAGGCTCTTTGGCTCTGGAGTCCGCGGGGGCAGTGCTCCTGGCCCCGCCTTGGGGCCTCATTATCTACGTTTCCGCGTCAGGCACGCCGGGAACTTGGCAGGGCCTGCGGGCGGTGATCAGGAACATTTTGTGCCTAGCGCTCGCCGGCCTGGCTTTTCTCCCTTTGACCGGYGCCACCGAGCGGGGATCGTTGGCGCGGACCGTAGGGCTGGGGTCTCTCAACCCAGGTAGCTGCCCGTGGGCGCACTTGTCCTGGGTTCCTCCGAGCTCTTCGCCTCCGGGCTGGGCTTCCAAACCAGAGTCACACCGCACGTAATCAAGATGTTCGTAAAGATGCTGTGGCCCATTTTAAAACAAAGCCCAATTATTAGCGCTCAGCAGCTCTTTATTCGGGCCCAGCGTAAGATGGCCAATTGCTGCTGAGAATCAACAAGCAAAGGAAACACAGTGGAAGGGAWAAGAAATCAGTTCTGGGGCCCTTTGACTTCTTTTGAGACCCCCATTGGTTCTTGTCCTGTCTGCCAGACCTTAGGCAAATTCTGGGGCTCGGTCTTCTATTATGTGAAATGGGAATTAGGAGTGCTTGATGACTACACCAGGAGCGCAGCGGGTCGCTAGGACAGCAGTGCTGTTATCCTGTGCCTCCAGGACCCCACCTTCCCTTGGTCCTCCGCTGGGAAGCGCCCGGGCTGCAAACACCGAAATGCCTCTAAAGTGCGTCACGGGCACCGGTCGCGCTGCTCGACTGACCAGGGTGAAGCTGGCACTCCGCCAGCGCGGGCTGGGCCAGGAGTGCCGGGCCTTCTCCYTGTTTGTGACTCCAGCGTGGAAGGCGCTCAAGTGGCGCAGATTGGGGAGCGCTGTTGGGRGCGCTCTCCCCTGCCTGCTACGCAGCAGCCACCGGCCTCCGCAGCCTCCGCCGGGTGAAGGCTACGCTTTCTCTAGGCCCCCCACCCTCCCCGCTTCCTTACCAGCGGCGGCAGCGGAGATTTCCTCCMGGGGAAACTACGCGGATCCTTCCCGGGGCTCCTCGCCCCGCCCCAGTTCTCCGCCCCCTCCCCTTTGCTGGGGATCCCGGGCTGGGCTGCTTCTGGGAGGCGGCTCCGACAGCCAGGAGGCGGCGGGGGGCAACGAGCTACAGGCCACCGACGCGCTCAGCCATGTGACGCCGCCCTCCTTTCTGCGATCCCCCCGGCACTCTGGGCCCCTGCGGGCGCCCCGCTGCGCAGCGCACCATGCGCCTGCCAGGACGCACGCGCCCACCGCCAGCGCCCCAGCCCGCGCAGCATCCCGCCCTCCGCAGGCAGGTAGAGCCTCCCGGGCAGCTCCTGCGCCTCTTCTACTGCACGGTCCTGGTCTGTTCCAAAGAGATCGCAGCACTCACGGACTTCTCCGGTAAGAGCGCCCTTCTTCGCCGTGGTGCGTCCCGGGCGCCAGGTTGCTCCCAGGTGAGCCCTCCGCTGGGAGCAGCTGCCCGAGGGGCCACGATCTGGTTCGGTTAAAGTTGAGGAGTGCTCTTAGTTTTCTTGGCTTATAGATGGTTGCGTGTGGCAGTGGCGGCAGGGTAGCCCCCCACTCCAAGGAAGGATGTGTAATGTGTTTGGAGTTTCTTGCCCTCCCGTCCACTTTCTTGCCCTGACAGTCGCACATTCACTGGCGGCTCCCTAGGCTGAACCCTATGCCGCGCCCAGCTCTAGAAGATACACGTGTTGTGGTGGAAGGAGTTGTACTTTCTCTGCCACCCACATAGTTAAGTGGCTCCCCAAGCAGACTCCCGGGTGCCCACGTAAGGAGATTAGCGCAGGAGACCCTAGACCTGAAGTCCTTGCCGGCAGGCAGCGAGCAAGCCTGCGGGCAACAGAGGTCTGGTGGAGATCCCATGAGAGATGGGGAGAAGCTCACAGAACAGGGAGGACACTCGGGGGCATGACTTCATTTCCAATAGGTGCCCAACGTTCCCGGTCTCCCTGGTTTCCTTCACACACATACAAATGTCCCTACTTCCTCCTACTGAGTAAACTACAAGGCTTTTCTTTTTGGGAATTCCGACCCAACCTCCTGCAAAGGATGTTAGTTCCAAGGAGGCAGGTGTGGCCGCAAAGTCAGTGAAGTTTTGAGGTTGGTGATGGCTATAGAAACACGTGTTTCTATTAGCCGGCACTTGTTTAAGGTAACAAGAGCCCTTGTTGCAGTTATGGCCCTGGGTCTCCAACTGGCAAGGCTGGAAGCCTGCAAACAGCCCCCACTYCCTCCGCCTAGCCCAGGAAGCAGCTCCGAGCCCCACACTCCCCCTTCTCRGGGATCTTCTGCCAAGTCCAGGCTTTACACAGACCCTGTCTGGGGCCCCCTGGTGCAGGGTCTTTTGCAATATAATCATGGTAAATGGAGTCATTCCTCCGTGCTGTTTGTGCAGTAGACTAGTACATGGCAAAGAACACTGGCAAAGCAAAAGTTGAGTTGGGTTTCTGGTTTACTTACAGAGAATGCCATTGTTAGCTGAAAGCCCTTGGGTCAGAGGTTCTTTGCTTTGAATATTTAATATCAAGGCAGTGTTCCTGCCTGGCAAAGGAAGCCAAGATATGCCTATTTGGCAAGCAAACTATGGCCCTTAAAATCAAGCCCCAGAGAATCAAAACTCTGTGGTAAATGTGCTGGGGAAATGCATCGGGTTTTTCAAGTGCTATCGACTTTTTCTTTCTTTCTTTCTTTCTCCTCCTTCTTCCTTTTTCTTTATAATAGAACTTTCTTGGCTGCTACAAAAGCTTTGCATTTGCTGATTTAAGCTATAGGGAGCCGTTCTAAGTTCAGTACATCTAGCTCTGAATATTGTAAGGCAAGAATGAAAAGCTGACAAGCCCTTTTTTGGTGACATCATTGCAACTGAACAAATATTGCTTTAGGCAAATTGTACTGTAACCATTAGATTGTTTTCACAGATTATAGACACTTAGAGTTTGTTTCTTTAGGGAAGTAGTTGCAATACTTGTTACAGTCTATAGGTTACTGCGCCCCACACCCCCCCCAGCTTAGAATTGTCTGTGTAGCAATAATTATACACTTGAATTTGACATATCAAACAGGGAGACTACATCCTGAGGGAAATGGATGCTCTGATGCAGATTCCTGTAAGTAATAAGAATAACAAAAGCCTTTTCCTTCTGTTCTCCATGTGGACCCAAATTCTAGAGCTTTAAACTCCCTGCAACCAGCAGTAGGTGGTGTTGTTGCCAGGTCCATCCACAACCCAGCCCCGTATTTCAGTGTTACTTCCTGGGGACCTGAAGGCTAGGGAGAAAGTGTAAGTCAGCCTTTGGGGAAGAAGAGGAAGAAGAGAAGAAACCACAGACACATTCAAGTTTAAACCCCAATTCTATACAGTATGGGATCAAGAAAACATTAGAAAAGTTTCAGGAAGAAAGATGAAGTTTTGCAAAGTCAGCTGATTTTACTAGAAACTTTAGGAAACTTTAGGACCCCTACCCCAAGCCCTGTGTTAGAGGGCATGGAGGGAAACTCCTAAGCGCCAAAAATGAGTCTTCGTGTCCACTTGAATGTGTTGGTCGAAGCAGTAGGTCCTGATCATGTGATTCCCTGTGGTCTCAAAGCCTGCTTTCCTGGGGACAGACAGTCCTGTTCCCCTTTTTATGAACTTGGCAGAGTATATAGAAATGAAACAGAGGCTCCACAGAGACAGGGGACCCTCCCCCGCAGAGCTCTACAACAATAGCAGAGGACGGAGAGAGCATGTTTGACTATACACATGCTGGCTTGTTTTCTAAATAAGGGAAACATCAAAAACTGGTGCAAGATGCAGGGAGACTCCTTTGCAGGAGGGTGGTTTATACATATGAAAGAAAGTGCCAAAATGTCAGGGGTCCCAGCCACAGTCTGTACACTATAGGGCCTCCCAGGAGGTCTGCTTTGCAGTTTGGGAAAGTTACTTAAGCCTTTCTCTTCTCTGCAACTCTTCCTTGAGCCTTTGCCTGAGGCTGTCAGCTGGTGTCATTTTCCTGGGTCATTGATTTTTTTTGCCCTGGGGATTCCAGCATCAGATCTCTTAATAACCCAGAGGCTGCATCTTGGCCCCCTCCTCCCCCTCCATGCTCGTGACTTGTGCTAATCACCTCCAAGCCTGCTGAGACACAGGCTCCCAAGCATTCCCTTCTCTCTCTTCCCTGAGGATTTTGAGATGTTGCCAGTGGCCACTAGAAGACTATCATCACTGCATTAAAAAATGTGTCCTAGAGAAGGCAAGCATGGTGCATGCAAAATTAGTGCCTGTGATCCTTAAGCCCATCTTCAAACGTGCCTGGCTTCCATCCATTTTCCTCTTTGGGATGGGGTTCCATTCTATTGACTGCATTCTCAAAATGAGGATTTGGCCTGAGATAGCCAAACTGGTCATTGATATTTGAGGAGTTGCTTTGAAGAAAGCAAAGGGAAGTATAAGAGATCAAGGCCAGGCACTGGAGTGTGGGGGTGAGAGCTGAGAGGAGGGTGGGGTATCCTTGTGACCCCATCAATGAAAACCTCTGCTTTAAAGAGTGGGGCTTCAATGTATCTTTTGGACTTGGTTTGCAGTGGCACCTCGGTACTTGTTGACTTTTTGTTGTTGCTGGTTTTATTCTGTGGTTTCTCTGATGAGGACACACTTAAGTCTTCTCTTTCCACCCATTTCTTCCCTTTCTTCCTAGTTTTGCCCTACTTTTAGCATGTAATGAAAAGTGTGAGAAGCAGGAGGGAGAGGGGATGGGAGACAAAGATAGTGGGGGCAGTCTGCAAGGTCTTCCTTGCCCTCAAATGCCCCTTGGCTTCAAAGAAAGGTCATTGTATGATGGACGTGATTCCCTGGGCCACTGTTCTGCTCTCTGCCATCAGTAACCCAAGTATGCAACAAGTGGCACTTAGTACCAGGTCGTGTCAGTCTGCGTGGGCTGCCGTAACAAAGTGCCACAGACTGGGTGGCTTAAACCGCAGAGATTTATTTTTCCATGGTTCTGGATAGTAGAAGTCCTAGGTCAAGATCTTGGCAGGGTTGGTTCCTTCTGGGGCCTTTCTCCTTGACATGAAGATGGCTGTCTTCTCACTGTGCCCTCACAGGCTCTTCTCTGTGTGTGTGTCTGTGTTCTAATCCCCCCTACAAGGACAACAGTCATATTGGATCAGAGCCCACATTAATGACCTCGTTTTAACTCAACCACCTCTTTAAAGGCCATAGCTCCAAATACAGTCACGTTCTAAGGCACTGGAAGTTTGGACCTCACGGTGTGAGTTTTAGTGGGATGTAATCAGCCTATAACATAGCTCATTGGCAGCCCAATAAATAAACCTGACCGGCAGCTCCTTATTTCATTGGCCAGGAATTTCATAATATTGAAATATGGCAGTTGAATACACTTTGGAAGCACACAGAATGACTTGAGGAGACTAAAAAATATTTGTTCAGCTGGACCCCAGGACTTCTGATTTCATTGACCCAGGAAGAGCCAGGCATTGTCTCTTTTCTAAAGCAGAGTTGGGAACAACTGCCCTGGTGTCACAGAGGAGGGCTGCCTCCTGCTCATGCATCATTTCATCCAGGGGCACATAGGTGTGGCTGGCCGGGTGTCCCCTTCAGACTCCAGCCCAGGGCTCACCCTCAGAGAGACCAGGAGTGTGCATTTCCAGCTCCTCCCAGTCAACACCTCTCATTCCATTCCCACGGGCACACACACATGCGCACACACCCCTCCACGTTTTATTATGCCTCCGTCACATCATCYGGTATTTCAGGAGTTATCTTCACTTGAAAACATTTTATGCAATGAAAAGCCAACTCGTAACTAAAGTAAAACAAACTGAGTGTCCGAAGGAGGTGTCTAGCTGTCACAGAAGAAGAGAGATGAAGAGCAAGTGTCTGAAATTGCTTGTCTATTTCCATGGAAAGTCACCATATGTGAATAATGTTCTGCCAGCTCTTTCTGCAGCAGGGAAGTGTCTCGGCTTGCGAGCGGTCCTGTAATTGATGGCTTTGGTTGCCCAGGTGCTTTATTCGATAGGGCAGCCCAGGGGTGAAACAGAAAGGGAAGGAGTAACAATTAATTGAGCTCAGTGTTATTTGATTTCATCCTCAGAGCAACCCCATGAGGTAAGTATTAATCTCATTTACAGATGAGAAGTAGCCTCAGAGACCGTAACTAAGTTGCCTGGGACCACCCGGCTAGTAAGCAGGACCGGGGCAGCCTCCAACACTAAACCAAGGCCAAGCTGGGGACTTGGTTCTTGAGAGTGTCAAGGCAGCAAGATCAGGAAGAAAAAAAAAAGTGACCACGATTTGCCTGACCTTTCTAGGTAGTTCATGGAGTGGACTCTGCCACTTCAGGTGTCTTCTGAGGAGACTGACCTTTTCCTACTGT